CAGACAGACAGACAGACAGACAGACAGACAGACAGACAGACAGACAGTGCCTATGGGCCAGAGAGCAATCTGCGAGGTATAGGACTTGCACCACATATGTTCTGGGAATCAAACTTGGATAGCCATTAGTCTCCTGGGCAACAGCCTTTCCCTCTGAGGCAACTCACTAGACTAAGTGTCTCTTTTAAGGTTTTCTTTCCCCTTTGGTCAAAATATATTTTCTATATGAATAATTAAAACAAGTCCACCTAAGAGAAAACAGATACACACACATACTACCTCTTTCCCCTTTTAAGTAAACAGTCCACAGCAGTGCCTCTGCCTAGTATCTGGCAGGTACACAGTATAGACTTCTGAATGTAGGGTTAGTAATTCAGAAATGTGTATTCATTAAAATTCTGAGCAAATTTTACTTACAAATAAAAAGTGAAATTATTATAACTCTAATGCAAAAGACTGAAGATTACAGGATGTTTAAATAAAGCATTTCAATAAAGTACAAAAAATAAAACCCAAATAAGAAAAGACTCTGACATTTTGTTCACGTTTAAAATGAGGCACTTCCCAATATCCCTTAATGACAATTTCTTTTAAAGCAAAGTTATATCCTAACTTCACTAAAATCTCAGGAAAACGAAGATCTGAAAATACATCTTAAGAACTCCTATTTCATAAATGACAGATAATTTAACAGTCATTTAAAACTAGATAGTAGAAAGCTAACTGGATTACTGATTTTAATCGAATTGTTTTTAAAACTGGTTTTGTTTTTACTGTAGATGCCTGTTTGCGGGCCAGACAGGCAGACAGCACAGTGCATACAGAAGCTGGTTTCCTACTTCCCCTTGGAGCTTGGCTCAGACCCCTGGCTTGTGGGTGAGCATCTGGACCACAGAGCCATCTTGCTGTCCCTCCCCACTCTCTAAGGCAAGGTCTTACTGGGTAGGTTAGCCTGGCTTTGAAACGCCCTACAAAACCCCAGCTAGCTCCAAACTCCTAATTCCACCCACCCAGCCTCCTGAATGCCTGGGTTACAGGTTGTCAGCACCTGGCTTCAAGTTTTAATATTTAAGAATATAAGTTTTCATAATCAGCACTAGAGATGCAAATATAACTGTATACTTAAAAACAAATACCTCTACAAATATCTCCACAAGAAGGAGATGCTCTGAATTACTCAACCTGTGACCCGTATCTAACCAGCACAGTTATTCTGAAATCTCACTTAAGTGTTTAACCCTCAACATACATTATCTACTGAAGATTAAACAAGTACCATTTATTTTACTGTGTTTGGTATCAACCTGACTCTATAATGGATGTTTCCACTATTAAATTAAATGAAGCTTTCCATAGTTAAAATGAAAGCTTAGGCCACAGGGACCATACCTTTGGACACCAAATCAAGTATTCACAATTCAAGACATCACAATGACAATTAGACACATAGCTCGTAAGCCTAGTGTGAAGTAAAACTAAAGACAAAGCTATAGTTCATCTAATCTTTTTAGGTATCTTGGGAAGTAAGTATTTAAATCTCCATTAAGACATACTGAAAACTAGGATCCAAACTCAAAAGGGTCTGTCTTAATATAACATGCGATGCTTTTTGAGTTTTTATTTAATTATTTTTAATACAAGACTCAAAACAAATTCACTTCATTTATACCCTCCAAATTAGCTTTGAAAACATTACATGCCTCAAAAAGGTTTATAAAGGTACTCCATGGTGACATTATTTTTTTTATTTTATCTTTTTATTTTTTGGTTTTTCGAGACAGGGTTTCTCTGTATAGCCCTGGTTGTCCTGGAACTCACTCTGTAGACCAGGCTGGCCTCAAACTCAGCCTCTGCCTCCCAAGTGCTGGGATTAAAGGCACGCACCACCACCTCCTGGCAACATTATTCTTTAAAAAGAGCCGTGTCATATGACTGAGAAAGAAAGGCACAAGGGCTGCCTGCTTACCAGCAAGGAGGAGCAGACACAAGAGCTGCTCTCCCTGGCTCCCCATACACAGCCAGCAGAGCGGCTCCCGCCCCTGCCCCTCCCACTCATGGCTCAAATTGAGTATCATTCACAATGACCAAAAATCTTGCAGCTAAACCATTCTTTGAAATGAAAATGCATATTGGTTTCAATAATATACAAGCTATAAAAAGCTTACCTCCAATTTTAATGAATGATAAATTGTAAGTCACATTTTATCCACACTGGCAAGCTACACTGTTTCATTAGGACTTAAACCAATTAACCACATCAATGTTGATGTTTTTTCCTACATAGTATTTTTTTAAAAAAAAAGACTAGTTTAAATCTAGGGAGCATAAACACTTAATAGTTAAAATATTCAAGAGATATTAAGAAATTATATAGGTCAAATCTTGTCTAATAGGAAATATCAATAGAAGCATTGGTAATTGTTTGTCTGCTGTCTTCCACATATTGTTATTCTTCTTAAAGTCTTCCGTCATTGTTACCTCTTAGCTCCCTAACTTGACCATCTACAGCATCTCTTTTACATGTCAATGATATGCACACATACTATGTAGATACTCTTGGACAGAATGTAGAAGGAAATTGCTCTGTCTAGCCCATCTAATGCTTAGAACAAACAGTAAGTGGCTCTTAGCAACAGGATACTAACAGCTTATGAATGAACACAGCCAGGCTTCTGTGGTGGCTTGAGTAAGAGTGGCCTGCACAGATCTGATGCTCAGTCACTAGGGAGTGGAACTGTCTGATGGGATCAGAGGGTGAGGAGTGTGCCCTTATTGGAGGAAGTGTGTCACTGGGGGTGGGCCTGGAAGTTTCTATGCCCTTGCTAGGCCCAGTCCCTCCTTCTTACTGCTACCTACCTATCAAATACAGGCCTCTCAGCTCCTTCTCCTTATCTCCCGCCTCCAGCCATGCTCCCTCCCTCTCATGATGGACTGACTCTGAATTCTAAGCCAGTCCACAATGAAATGTTTTCTTTTATAAGAGTTGCCATGACCATGGTGCCTCTACTCTTCATATCAACTAAGACATTGGCTCTATGGACTTTAGAAACAGAACACTTCATTTTTCAAGGCATACTTTAACATTAGGTATTGTTATACGGTCTATGAACATATTTGTTTTTAGTGGAAATTTTTGTTACAGGATAGTGATTTTTAAATCTTAAAAAGAATTCTAGATACATGGAAAGCAAAGTTTTCATGACCCAGTTTTCTTATTAAGAAAATTAGAGCTGGGCGGTGGTGGTGCACGCCTTTAATCCCAGCACTTGGGAGGCAGAGGCAGGGGGATTTCTGAGTTTGAGAGTTCAAGGCTAGCCTGGTCTACAGAGTGAGTTCCAGGACAGCCAGGGCTACACAGAGAAACCCTGTCTCGAAAAACCAACCAACCAAACAAAACAAAACAAAACAAAACAAAAGAAAGAAAAGAAAATTAGGCTAAGTGGTTAAGAACATTAGTTGCTCTTCCAGAGGACTCAGGTTCAATTCTCAGCACCCACATGGTAGCTCACTGCCTGTGACTCTAGTTCCAGGGAATCCAACAGCCTCATACAAACATACTAGCAGGCAAAACACCAATGTACATAAAATTAATTAATTAATTAATTAATTAAAAATAGATACAGGGTTTTCTTTTCCTTTCTCGCAAAGTTACTAAGTAGACTTGACTTTACACACTGGACTCAAAACTTACCATTTATAAATGTACCGTCATCACTGTTCTAAGTTAAGAAAATACCAGTTTTCTCCTAACTACAGTAAGTTCATACTTAAGTTTTAGGAAGAAACAAAGTATGTTTAAGACAGTTACTAGAAATATGTGAAGAAATGAATATATATAGTTTATTACCGCATCTACTGATGTGCACCAGTAAAATTAATGAAAATAATCACCTATATCAAGCATAAAATATACTATGCACCAGAAATCCTGCAATATCTGTCAGCTTAAGTTAAGCCAAAAGAAGCCTACAATTTAAAATCTTTGAGAAAGCTATAGGTAGATAATAAGGAAGGCTCCATCACCTGAAAATGAACAGGAAAAACTTTTACTTAGTAGTTATATATGTAATCTATATTAGCAAAATTACAGAGGATACCACATCTTGCTAATTATTTAGGGTCACTTTAAAAGAAAGAATGAGTAAACAAAATGTCAAAATTTTACTTATTGTTATTGCTAATTTTTTTTGAGATAGGGTCTTACTCTATAGCCTTGAGTAGCCTAGAACTCAGAGAGACCTGCCTGGCCCTCAACTGTCATAGCATCACAGTCATGCACCACTATGCCCAGCTACATTATTAACTAAAGTTCTGAGAAGAAATAATAGACTACCTAGAACTGCAGGTCATTTATGTCTGAGGGGTAAACGACTCTGATTAGTAGCCTACTTCTCCAACACTGTGGAGTGACCAAGAAGGCAGGCACAGAGCACACGCTAGTCTCCACCTGTCCAGTGCCTTACAGACACAGCACATCACTCCTGATCACACCCGCTCATATTCTATCTTCACAAACAAGATACTGAGTCAAAGTGGCAACTGAAGAATACACTCTCTGGAACAAAGACATCTCCAGCACTTACAACTGTTGAAATGACAGATATATTAAAGACTGAGCACCAGTCACATATACCATTGAGGAGCCTAAAGACAAACATCTAAACCAAAACCCAAAGCAACTTTACCCTCTTCTGTATTTTCTACTGGGCTCATCTTTTTCCATTTCTCTAAGCTTAGAACTTCCAGAAGGTCAACCTTTTCCATGGTTTATATCTGGTAACACTTCATACTGTCTTCTTAAAATGGGGACATCCTATCAATCTAGTACACTGAAAAGATAACCCCAGAGCATCAACTGAAATGCTGCCCAAATTTATTTTGAAATTTGTTAGAAATACTTATCTTCTGTTGAAATTTACATTAAAAACTGCCTCATACTTTTGTAATACTAACAGTCAATCACTCAGAGAAACGGAGTTGGAAGTCTCTGAAACTAAATGCAGGTCCGATTTACCCTCACGCTCACTGAGACAAGCATCAGCTACTATACTCAAATGTGGAGTATCTATCAACAAAGCAGTCTCACAACTCAAAGGGGCGACTGTTCTTTGACAAGGCGATTTTGTAAAATAGCAAAGTTGCAACCAAAATGCAACTAATGATGCATTTAACTAATGCAACCAATAATGTGTTCAGTGTGTATGCACAGGAATAACCAACAGTGCACTTCTGCAACTCTCCTGCACTGAATAATCTGCAAACCAACAGTCAGCGACCTCTCTGCTTTAAAAAAAGATATGAAACTACGTGACTGGGTGAGACTGTAAGACAGTAGCTTTATTTAATAAGTTGGTATTCATAAAATATTTCAAATATTAATAATTCTTACCCTAAGTCACAGAAATCTCTTACCAAATTTAATAATTTCCCTATTAGTGAGATGAGCTAGCTGGTTTTGGACACTCTTATGGGGGTTCACAAAAATCTGACATGTTATGTGCCACACATATTTTACATATTAGTAAGCCCAGGACATTCTTTAAATCTATGTCCATACATTTTGCATATGGAATAACTATACCTTAGCTACTTTCCTCCAGTTGAGACAGTCGAAGAAGTAGTAGGTTCCCCGCTCATACGTGTTGGTCTTCATCGTTGGCTCCATGCCCGGTGCCCTGGTAATCCATACCCGCTCCTCCTTGTGGTATCTCCAATCACGGTTAAAACTTCAATTTTTAAAAAAGAAACAATTAATCTCTCCTGTGACCCACACAAAACCAGAAAAGTTACGTATAAAATATAAACATCTGGAGACTTCTGTATCTGGCTCTGCTATTAAATGCAATCTTATTTATGTAACAAGATAACTTCTTTTGTTCCAAAAGCATATTCTTTAACACACATTAAAGTTGAATCTGCTTTATGTAGACATAATATTTTAAAAGGTATTTGAGCATTTAAAAGATATATAAGCTGGGCAGTGGTGGTGCATGCCTTTAAACCCAGCACTTGGGAGGCAGAGGCAGGCGGATTTCTGAGTTCAAGGCCAGCCTGGTCTACCAAGTGAGTTCCAGGACAGCCAGGACTATGCAGAGAAACCCTGTCTCGAAAAAAAAAAAAAAAAAAACCAAAAAAAAAAAAAAAAAACAACAACAACAAAAAAAATAAAACAAAAAAAAAAAGGATATATAATAAAACATGGCAGACCAAACAAAGATACAATATACTGAGTAATAGAAACTGAAGTACATAATAAAACAACAATCCATTGATTACTGGGTAAGTTATTAAAATACTCATTTGAATTGACTAATTAAATTCACACAATTTTATAGCTACGATAATAGAATACCCATTTTGTAAAGTTTAGTTTTTAAATGTAGATAATAAATTGCCAGAGGATGCCATCAGAGGCCAGGCACATGACACACAGTACTTATGAACTGGAGTAGCAACAGCCAAACGGGCAGATGATGAAGCCATGCAAATACACGCCTTCCTACAAACAGTTTGGTAGTTCACAGACATAGATGACATGACAAAAATAGCCAATTACAGATGGATGAGGCAGTTGATAAATTTATTTATCATGATATACGTGTTAACCCCATTTCACAAAAATGAGAGGGAAATGAGGAAAAAATAAATTCTCTCAATATAAAAAGTGAGATATATAAAAAAAACTTACAATTTAGTATCTAAAGATACAAACATGCAGGGTCATATATAATATATGTATCACTGATGTGTATCAAATAATGAGATTCTGTGTCTGTTCAAAAAAAATCTGTTTCTACAAGAACCACAGCCATGAGTCCTGGTTTATAAACCTCAATTCACCATGCACGTGACCTCACATAGCTGACATCATGCTTGAAACTCTTTCTCTATTACAATGATTATAAAGCTGTAATATGCTTTCAAAATAAACAAAATTCATTTTACTAAAAATGAAAATAATTCAAGTTCTCATCTTTATACTTTTTTGTTATTGCAGTGATCCAGGAATGATGATAAGGTCAGGTCTGGAGCTGGGAGCCAGGCACTGCAACCCTAACAACGAATAACTTCAACTTCAGGGAAGGGAGAATTTTCAATAAAAACAAAAAACAAAAAAGACTAAAATCAAACCCATAACCATCATCATATTAAAAACCTTGAAAATATCCAAAATACGCTAGAGGAGAAAGTGATATGATACGTTGAACATACAGCTCTACTGCAGCTAAGAGTTGTAATACATCCCCGCCGTTCATGTAATACAGATAGAAGAGGAGGTCTTCTCCGTATCGGCCAAGCTTGATTGCAGCCAGCTACAAAAGACAAATTATGCTAAGTTATAAAACGAATGTAAAAATTAAAAAAAAAAAACCCAACTGCTACCACTAAAATAAAAAGGATGAACATAAATCCTTCAATTGGCACAGACAACTATCATTTAAATAAACAAGGCTATTTGTTGAACCCCAATCCTAAAGTAAAGAATGAGACTATTAAGTATCCCATGGAATTCCAGCTACACAGGTTTGTAAGTGCTAGCTCAATCTACATGCAGAGTGATTCACAAATCATTTCTTTCTAGCACATCACATAGGAGAAGCATAGAAATCAGACAGTACTCATATTTTGTTTAAATGAATGCCTAATAGATAAGTTTTTCACATTTCCTTCCACAATGTAGAAAATAGCCTACAAAACTACAAATCCAGGATAAGTGTGGTCAGTTCTCATGTTCTCAGAACACCTGAAATATCTCCCTAAACACAGAGTCTACCTGACCAGCTACCCACAGTCAGTCACTTGGCTTTTCTGCACATCTTGGTGAGCGAGCGCAGCTCCCTCCCCAGTGCGCTCTCCTAGCCGGCAGGCAATTGTGAATGCAGGCTGTTCTCCAGGACTTTTTACAGTCTAAGGAAAGGCTGTAACTGTGGCCTCAGGTCTACAGTACAGGTGCAGCATAGACAGTAGAAAAAGGTCGAATAACTTCAGAAAGGTGCTTGTGGTTTGTCTCATTAAAAATGTCTTATCTGAATAAAATCTCTTATGAGTTAGGGCATAAAGTAAGAATGTCAAGAGGAGAATCCCCAAATTTTCTAAGTTAGTTTATTTCCATTCACTATGGTTACAATTATTAATCACAGGAAATATTTTATCATTCCTAACATTGTTTGGTTTAAAATAAATAAGACCTACAGCATTAATATTAATAAAAATAGAAATAAAATTATTATCCATGTGAATGACATACAGAAGCATTCCCTAAGATTGCTAGTAGATTAGCATAGTGTCTGTGGTACCAGACAGTAGACAAATGTACGCCTACGACCAGAAGGCTACACTCACCTTATCCCTAATGTGAATGTTTGTTAAATACTCTGATGGAACATGGAAATCTGCATAATAAAACAACAAAAAAAGTGTTATTAACTGATCTTAGAAGTACCCTTTAGACAATTCTAAACACAAACAGATTCTCCTACCTATGTCTTGAGGTCGACAAGGTGAAGAAGCCCAGGGTGATGCAAATTTGGGGTAGAGATTTCTGAACAAGTAAAAAAAGAAGCCACTTTAATGAACAAAGTAGAAAACTGTATTTCTAATGTAATTTCAGGAAAATAGGGAAAAAAAGAATTAAAATAAAAAATAAGCATCCTTCCTGATTCCTTTTCTTGAATTTACTGCAACTTTATAGAAAAATAACAGGAGTGATTCCTTTAGTATCCCATCAATAGAATATAAAGCACAGCATGTGTGTGTGTGTATATATATACACACACACAATTTAAATGGTCTACTTTAAATTAGCTATAATTAATAACGTTTTAAGTTCATTTCTACACTACTCTCCAATTATATTACTTTCCATGTCTACCACACTCAAGCCTGCAATGATGAAGAGCAGGATTTCGTACTCACTAAACACGTATTGAATGCCTGTTCTATGCACCTGAACTGTTCAAGGTGCTCTGAATAAGTTAAGTGATCAAGACGAAGACTGCTGATACTGGAAAACTTACTTTCTGTTTAAGTGTATGAACTGGACACTGGCAGATAATTAGCATAACAGATAAATAATATTGATTATATAATTAAATAGGGTGGTCAGTTTAAGTCAGATTTGACAAGCTTAGATGTAAACACACATTCAAGGATAGGAGAGCAATAATCACAGATAATTACCTAGTAGAACAGCGTACTAGTCAAGGCAGATATTATAACAACTGAGGCAGAGACAGCTTGACATGAGAGGCAGAGGAAGGCAGCCAGTGAACAAAGGGAAAGGCTTCTGAGGTGGAGTCAGAAGAAAGAGACAGGATGATGTGAACACTGCAGAGCTGCTATTCAGGGAGATTTTAAATTAGAACAACAAATCTGTACTTGGTACTGAGCACAGAAAGAATTATCTTGAGTGCTACATAAATCTGTACAAAAAAGAGCAAGAAGAAAACCAAGAATCCCTGCTGTGATACACTGGCAGAATATTCAGGCAACAAACCCGAGTGGTACCAATTTAATGAGAATATGACTGGACTATGTATCTATTTGAGAGGACTGCATCTGAGAGAAAAGGAAGGAGAGACTTAAGGACAATGTCAAGTTTCTCAAAGTATTAATGGACACCAAGAAACCTTAGACATAGTGTAGGTTTAACCCAAATCTTAAAGAGGTATTTAGCTAGTAATGGTATCCAAAATCACAAGTTCAAGAAAAAAGTCTGCATGGGAATATATGTTTAGAATTTTCAATCTATGTCATCCTTAAAAGCAGAAGTCTAGATCAGATCATCAAGAGGACAACCCAAAGGTCAAGGAGAGGTGGTATGAGCAAGGGAAACTGAGGGATGAGCCAACGTTATCAGGTACGAATGACATCTTCAAAATCAAGTGAGGAATGAGCACAGAGAGAAAGTGCTAATGTTCCTGGAACAGTTTAGTGGAATTGTGGGAAGAGAATCCTAGCAAAAATGGGTTTAATAGAATGAGAGAAGACAAATTAGAAAAATCAAGATGATCTGCTTCAAAAAAAAAAAAATTAAAAATGTGATAACTCAGGCGGGCAGTGGTGGCGCACGCCTTTGATCCCAGCACTTGGGAGGCAGAGGCAGGCGGATTTCTGAGTTCGAGGCCAGCCTAGTCTACAGAGTGAGTTCCAGGACAGCCAGGGCTACACAGAGAAACCCTGTCTTGAAAAACAAAACAACAACAAAGTGATAACTCAAAGGCAGTTGAATCAGGATAATCTATTTTGCTATGATTGGAAAAATAAGTTTCTCTAGAAATGACAAAACAGAAATGTTGTAAGTTGGAAGGAAGTCATGGCATGTGCCTGTAATATCATCACTCAGACAGAAGCAGGAGTGCTTAGTTAAGGAGCCACCCTGGAGTGTACCAGCAAGACCATTTCCAAAGTCCTGGGGAGCTGAGGTGAGGACAGAGCTCAGGGGCAGAGCTCTTGTCTAACTAAGTACCACATGGTGTGGATGCTAACACTGGGGAAAGGGAAAAAGCTAACATTCACCCTCCTGAGCTTTTACAAAGTTTTAAGTAGGAAGCATGAGCTAAATACTTTGGCAAGGGCATGTCAGATTTAGATTGGTGGCAGGTCATTAGGTTTGGTGGCAGGACTAGGTTAATGCCCTCTTCTATTTGCTTACACTTGTGTTTGTAAAGTAGAAATAGAAGCCAGGTCATTATTAAAGCTACGGACAGGAGGAAATGCTATTATTGGCTTGATGAAATGCAAAACAGCCACATAGGATAATAGCAGCAAAAAACCATCCATCCATCCATCCATCCATCCATCCATCCATCCATCCATCCATCCAACACAAACACACCTAAAAGCAAACAAAAGGTTCTGAAAGGATTATGTCACCTGGTAGTAGTATATCTGTAAAATTTTGGACTCACTTTTAAGCTCCTCAGCACGAGTGTGCAGCAAGGTCAGAGAATGAAATTATGCTTTTCTGTAGCCCAACCAGAAGATAGTCAAGAATGAAGCAAACAGACATAATGGCTACAGACTCTTAGATGAAGTAGGATTAGAAGTGGAAAGGGCAGTCAGTCAAGCTTGCCTAAGTGAGCAATTATGATTGATCATAAAATGTAATGGTGAGAAGGAAGTAAGCTCATGAAAGAGGAGATAAAAACACTGAGAAAGGCAGAAGAGCTAAAGAATGACAAGTCCCAACAGAATCAAACGATACAGAAGTCGAAGCCACAAGAGAGGCATGGGAAACAGTGATAGTTAGAAAGCAGGCGACAAGGTAAACTTACAGGGAGCCTACAGTTCCAAATACTGACAAGATCAATGGGCTGGAGAGAGATGTGGCTTGGGGACAGACCCAAAGGCCTTGTAGTTAGAGCCTGGGTATTTCTCAGTGACAGTGATCCATGGACTAGCTAGAAGGAACAGCCCAGGAGCAAACCAACAGGCTGCTGATGAGATCAGCTGCAAGCCTGAGGCTCTCTGGGGAGGCACAGGATACTACAGGGTAATCACGCCTATAATGCCTGCCTGGGTTACGTCCTCAAAAGAAAAAGCTAACAGTATGAGAATCTGTTACATGCTAGAAGATATATACAAATGTGGAAGAAAAAACTTACTCAGGTGAGTTCAGATTGAGGCCTAATGTTGTTAAGTCACTTCCTAAAGCAAGATGTACCATTCCTGGGTCTGTCTCTGCTGCCCTGATAAATGTTAACAGGCCAATCATTCCAAATTGGTCCGTCACCATCCCTTGAGGAATGTTAGTAACTCGACCTGGTTAAGAAAAACACAGTTATTTTTACTTTATATTAAGAAAAGTAGAGAAAAATGTACTTTAAAATATCTCTGACATATTTATGGAGTCCCACCATCAGGTAACACCTGGATCCCCTTTTTCTGCTGATTATTGTTTTGTGTTGTTGAACTTTTATCTCCAGGGAATTTAGGTCCATCTGTACTTGAAGTCGTCTTCCCCGATGTACTCAAATTCTAGCATGAAAAAAGGAAAGCACAACATTAGATGTGTTAAATATGTAAGTTTAAATTCATCAACACCTTGCTAGTCATTCGCTATTAGATTTAAATTACTAGTAATTACCTGTTTTCTACTTGAAAATTGCATCCCCATAACTGCCTCATGAAAAACAAATAAATTCTGTGTCTACATCTGAGTATTTAAAGGGCAAGAAATCTCAAGAAAATTAGTCTTTTCTTTTCTTTTTTTAAAATCTCAGTCATAGAGCACACAGGGTAAAATATGAAAGTATCTTTGTCTTTCTCAGGGCTTTATGCTCTGTGGATGCACACTTCTGTAGAAAAAATTACATACTACAGTACTAAAAACACTACCAAAGCAACCTCAAAGATAAACTAAGAATGTATAACTTTTCAAAATTCACACTTATCTCCATCCTTACCCAACAATCTTCTTTAAGCCCATAATACAAAAAAAAAAAAAAAAAAAAAAGCTCTTTGCCATGAATGTTGAAAGAAACAAACACACTTGTTAAATCAGAAGCTGAGTTGGCTGAATCAACACAGGTATAAAAATGTGCATAAAGATTCTTCAAGGAGAAAACTTACTCAAGAAAAACACAGCTCCTTAGAAGTCTATATTATCAAACGTCATGGGGTCCAGCTGACAGGGACTACAATAAAAGTCTAAATTAACTGACAAGTTCAACAGAAATTCGCAAACCTATATGAAATAGGAAAAAAATTGGCTATCTTCTAAGTTATAAAGCTTTCTACATTCTTTAGAAGTTAGATTATTACAGTGCTCAACGTAGCAGCATCTAGTCAGTAACTATTAGTGAAGGCAAGTCTACAGGGAAACACTACACCACTCATATACACGGTTCTCGGCTACTTACAGATTTGCTGTCGTCATTACTTGACGTTGGATCTTTATAGCTGGAACCAGGTAATGCTGGAAAATCTTCGTTGTGTATTGAGAAGTCTTGAGATTGCTCATTTGCAGGTTTTGTTACCATTCCAACTATGTAATGAAAATAATCCAGAAAACTGTAATTGAATCTATGATAATGTCTTATAAACTATGTTAAGAAGCTAACTTTGCTCATCACAATATAACAAAAACTTTTTTTAAAGCATGTGAATTGATAACTCAAAAAATATTCAGGATAATGATAAAGAATGAAATTTTGATTTACTGCTGAACAGAAGCAACATATAAAGCAATACAAGGAAAACAAGTGGTAATCCTGTAATTCCAATCTAATGTTATATAGGTGCTTAAAATAGTACTTGACATTGGTAATAATATTCAAAATGCTGGCTTACAGGCTAGCTTTAAATATTTGACTAGATGGCATAAACACCAGTTAGTTGTCAAATGAAAATAAGTATAATAAAATTTAAAAGAACATGTCAGTATTCTACTTAAAAGTGACTTACAGAAGTGAGCAAATTGCAACCAATTATAAAACAATTCCACTTTATTTCTCATTTTCTTGGACTCCATGCTACAGATGTAAAACATGTAAGAACTGGGAAACACTCTTCCCACTACACTTGTCATTAGTCGGGCCCTTATTGGAGAACAAAATCCAGTTTGGGGCTCCACAATTCAAGGAGGAAATAGAGCAATTAGAGATGGTCCAAGGAGAGCGAGCAAGGGGAGTGAAAGAAAGGGATGAAAGAAAGGACCTACGGGGAAGGGTCAGCAACACTAGCATCTGAACCGAGAAGTGAGCAGCGAGGCACGCAACTTCAGGGCACGCAACAGTCTCTTATTTTGGGAAAACAGATTCAGAAGGTTTAAGATTACGATCAATAAAGTTTTTCCTCCACACATTATTTTTATTCATATCCAGAAGTACAGAACTTGAAACTCTTGATTATGGAGAAAATATTGGCTCTCTTTTAAAATAACTGATGCATAAGCTCATCTAATTATTGCCTTGATTCCAGCTCTACCAGATCTCACTCACAAGAAACAATAGTCTGGCTATGCTCATATCACAGAAGTTTTTGTCTCAGCTGTTATTCTGTCACTGCATATGGTTTTCTTAACATCAACATTCAGGCTCTACTAACCAAATCTCCTAACTTCTAGAGATTGTAGAAAACGGTGACTGGAAATACTAATCATAGCCAAGAATCTATAAAAACACAAAATCATAAGCACTGGTTCTCACAGGCTTAAAAGAGGGCATTTGCCAGTATGTAGACATGTGTGCCACATGGATGGCAGTATCGCTGGTGCTGGCACACAGTGGCCAAAAGCTAAAAGTGCTGCTAAATGCTCTATCTAAATAAGTTCCTTCAGACTACCCTCATTCTGAAAGGAATTTTCCACCCCCAGTATGAATTTAGAGAAATCTTCACTTAGATACCTCAATGCCATTATTATTAATTACCAGGGATATATTCTCTTAAAGGTGGGGCCAAATAACAAAAGCCAAGCCACGAAATTAATCACTATAATAAACCAAAGCACGCAGAATAGAAGAAATAACTTCTGAATAGCAATGAAATCAAGTATAGATTTCTGAACTAACGTTTACCACTCAACTTTGCTATGGTGGATACATGGAAAGACAAACCAATTTTCAAATTATGAATTCCGACAAAATAATGCTAACCTAGTTTGACAACATAAATATACACAAGTATGCGCACACAGACAGGTATGTGTGTAGTAGGCATGACTGTAACCTTTAATTGGCCATCACTAAAAATATGAATTACCGTAAGGCGCTCTTCCAGCCAAGGGGTTTATTAATGGAGTTGGGTTGCCACTTCCTTCCCTTCTATTCCGGTCTGCTAATGCTGGGAAATCTGAAAGGTCCAATCCTGTCACATTCTCACTGCCATCTAAATGATAAGAGATCACACTCGTTACTGATTCCACAAACATTTACAATGAGATTATAAAAACCGCACATCTCATCTCAAACAACAGTGTCTTCTTCCTTAATAGTGCAGACTGTGTGACAGGTACAGGACAGTGGGCACCATGCTGTGAATTCTGTGGACTGAGTCTGTATCAGGGAATTAATTCCCTTATAACTGAGGAAAGCAATATGCAGCCAGCATCCTAAAATACCCAAGTCTAAAGATGTAGACATAAAGAGAGGGGCTGTACATTATCTCCCCTTGTTGGAAGAAGGCAATCAAACTTAGAGCTTGTTAGGGAACAGGAAATACACTGGTTAGCTATAACTGCTCTTCTCATTATAACTGGATGGGGCAGTACCTAGATTATTTGGAGCATCAACTATAAGACACGAAGACGACATTACCTCTTGCAAATGTGCAGAAAGACTTTAAGGCAAACAGCAGATAAAGAAACCCTGAGGATTTCTGCTCTGTATACGTCAGTTTGAGACAAAAACGTGTACACATGCATGTGTGTGTTAGCTCCATGCAAGGATGTACTCCTCTTACGTATCAGGAGTAGGTGGGGAATATAGGAATGATCCAAACCCACAAGTCTATATTGCCTGTGACACAGTAGGCGCTCAATAAATAGACTGGATAAAGATGTATCTGTTTGTTTTAAATTATACTGCTACCATTAGACATAAATATTTAACCCAACTTCTCTATTTTGGCGATTTTAATTATTTTTCCCTCAATCTTTCGTGTTCTTAACCTGTATTCTAATTTTGAACCACTTAATTTTCTACCTACAATTTAACTGTATTTATGTTTTGCCTTGTTTTATAAGCATGTATAGTTTTGAGGCCATTTTCCAATTAATTTTTATTTTTCTGAACATTTTCACAACTAAAAGTATAACTACTATCCTAAGAGTAACTTTATTAAAACAAAAAGACTGTATTAATATACCAAGGGAGATGATATTTTAAAATTACAAGTGTAAAGGTAATGATACACCACTTCTCACAAATTCTCTTTTTAAATTTCCATTAAAATACAATATAAAGCAAAAGAAATTAAAATCGTATTTACTGTTTTAATTTATAAGTTAGTATCTCTCAAATTATGACTAATTGTAAACTTCTCTAAGTAAAAACTAGCTTAATACATATCCTTAGATCTTTCCATGTTTAATTTTAAATTGTCATGTATTAGGTTAGAATATATTTTAGCCAACAATTTATAATTTTTCAACTATAAACTTAAGTCTTGAAAATACTTTCTCCAGTATAAAATCTAAGAATTTTAAATTTCTGAAACTTTATAGTAGCGTATAAAACCATTAATTATTCAGTTGAAATGTGAGGGCAGCCAGACTTCACATACTAGGTATGAAAAAGTGTACTCTTTAAAGGCAATGGAATATAAAACTTTGTTACAAGAATTACAAAGTTGACAGGTTTTAAAGTCACACCCAGAAAATAATAATATTTAAAACGCTTAAAATCTTCATTGAAAGAAATGGATATACTATTTAAATGCTTAAAGTCTTCCATTTCTTTCAATGGTTTTAATCTTGGCTGGTCTACTTCAGCTGTTCAACAAACCACCAGAACACTCAGAAACTAAAAGCCTAAAACTAAAAACTACAAAAAGGTTTCCTTTAGGTCTTCTCATGCAGCATATGCATGCTGTACCTTAGAACCTCTCCCTTCACTGCCACCCTCACGCTCACAGAGCCCAGTAACACTAATTCTGCTCCTACAATCATGGCAACACCCTCTATTTTCTCATCACCAAAGCACCTAGAGGCAAAGTAAACCAGCAATACTACCACTCCCTGTTTATTTCCTGCTAAAGCAGTTGCTAAAAGAAACCAACGGATTTTAGTTTTTGCCAAAAATCAACTTACTTTCCAGCTGGCTCAATCTTATAGATAATACTGGATTAAAATTTGTAAGAATTAAATGTAAACATTTTCATTAAAGTCATTTTTAAAAATGGTAAGTACTTCCTATGATTGACAGATTGACTTTAATCAGAGTATCAAAAATCAGAATGTCCTACCACCCAACCTAGTCTACACTATTTTTCCTCAGTGATGGGGCAAAGGACAGGAAACATTTTGAAGGAAAAAAAACAAACAAACAAGAGTCTGAGACACAAATATAGTCCAGATTAGTATTTACTCTCTTTAGACAGTAGAAAATAATTCTGCTGTTACAATACAAAATACTATATTGCAAGGCCAAGTTGGGGGGGGGGCATGTAACTTACTCTCTGTTGTTTAGTTAAATCCTATTCCTTGCAGTTTTTCACTAAACTAAATTGTATTTAAAATAGTAAACTCCTGCTACTATTCAGAGACCAGTATGCTGATTTGCTTGTATTTCAGAATTCTACTGTACTTTCATTAGATACTAGCTCCAGAGTAAGCTTACCTGTTCCATTAAAAATGTTACTTGATAAGGAGTTATTCATTCCAAATGCCTGATTCCTGTTCATTCCAAATCCAGACATACTGGGTACATAGAAAATAATTTTAGATATACAGTAAGAACACTAACTTTGAGATGAAGAAAAATAAAAGTATATATACTTTGGGTCTCCTCATATAAAACAATAATATGTTTCAAAACCAATGCTAGTTTGAGAGTAAAATATTTTAAAATTTCTTCTAAAATTCTTCAATGAACAAGAAAGAATCAAACAATTTAAACAAATTAATTTTAAAAACAGAAAAAGAAACTTAGTTATAAATGGCGAAGAACAGAGATGAAGAGTACCACTGAGCATTGCTGGTGTGCTACCTTGCTGGATAATCGCACCTACCTCAATAGTATGCAGGTAGGTTTAAGATTACCCCCCTCACCTCTTGATCTCCTTCCTGACTTAGAGAGCTTGCTTTTCAGTGCAAGTCTTCTCTTTCCAGCCCGTCTTTCCCAACTACTCCTGCCTGTGAGTCTGTGTCTCCTTCACTCTCTGCCCCCTGCTGTTAACATTTACAAGGTATTCAATAAATGTTGAAGTGATCTGAATTAAATTGATCAGGTACTTAAAAAACTGAATTCAGTGTTCTAAAACTCAAGTCAACAAACATTTTTTCCTATTATCCTAGAGCTGCTGGTTATATAGATACCCTCCAGTACAGATTTAGTGCTCAACTGAAGCCGTTCAACAGTAAAAAAAATTATAAGGGATAGACATGAGCAGAAAATAAGAGTTTTATTACAGTGACATTTTATGCAAAGTATTTTTGAATAATTAAAATGTGAGAATACAGGAAAGTAAAAATTTAAAACTCTATTTAATGAACAAGAATGCAGAATGATGCATAAAGCCTAAGCAATACAGTTAAGCTATCAAAGAGTTGTAATAACATGTTGCATAACTTCTTAAAAACTTAAATGAAATTACAGGATACTGTAGAGCCTACGTAAGACAACTGGAGTTTGCGGGATAAAGGCTGAGGAAGTATGCCAAGCACCCATCTCAGTGCAGACTGACAAGAAGGAAGTGAGGTGGACGACAGCAACAACTACATGAAGGTCCTTTCTTTTACTCCATAGTTTCCATGGAAACTAAGTATAAACATACATATGACACGTGACTCAAACTTTTATGTTGCTTTGCAAGAAAGCTTTACATTTCAGACATAACTCTCATGTTACCCAAACAGCGTCAACATACTAGCCAAATGAATCACTGTTCTTATCTGTACAGTACAAAATGGAAAGAAAAACATCAGCTTACTTTTTTGTTTTGAATCTCTAGACATAAAATTTAAAAGAGCACTGTTTTGAAATCGTCTACATGTAATCATGAAGTGTTTCCTTAGTAAGTACCCAGAGTATTTTAGCTCAGCAAGCATCTAAACAATGCATAACTAAAGCATGGCAGCAATAATCCAAAATGTTTTCCTCCAGTCATATTCATAAACCCAGAACTCTTAGCACACAATGGATAAACTTTACTTAATAATAAAAGGATAAATCAATAAAAATGTGCCTGGTGACAACCCAATACCACATCAACAAAAAGATTTAACATGTTATGTAAAATAAAAACCATCTTTTCTAAGAGAGTATGTTCTGAGTCTGCGGAGGGTTCAGAATTATGATAGTTAATAACTTTGTTTACAAATACACAATTAAAACACACCTATGAGACAGAAGCCACAACTCAAAAACAAAGCGTTGCACATGAAAAGGCAAGTCTGAGGATACCCCAAAAGACAATGATATGCAGTATCAATAAACATCTTACCTGTTCACAGTAAAAGGCTGTCGAGAAGGCTGTTGCTTTGGCATACATATTATGCTTGGCGAGCTTCTGTTGGGGCTACCTAACCCTGAACTGCTCATGCTATTTGTCCTGCTAGGAATTCCAATGCCCTGACCAACCTGGGAGTGGTTCATCATATTCCTAGGATTCATAGGCAAAATACCCCTGAAAAAGAAGTCCATTATACTAAATAAGCTCTCTACAATCACTCAATAAAATTCTCTATAATCAATCAATTGCTCTAACCCCTACAATTTCAAATATACATTCCTGCTATATTCCTAACTTTATAGTAGAACTAGAAAAGGTGCCATCATAAAAGAGAACTAACTACTGGGACAACTATGATATAAATTATAAATGTTTTCCACATACATATTTAGAGTAATTTCATTCAAAGTTCAAATTATTCTGTCCTCTTGATATTAAAAACATACATAATCTATGTTATCTGTTTTCTTTTACTGTAACTAAACAAAAGCTGTGTGGTGAGGGAGCAAGCCAGGAATACAGTTATCTGGGAGTCATTTTAAATTGAACATCTTTAGGGAAGAGGTATACAGCTTTTTGTAAAAGCTCCCAGGAGGCAATTAAACCTTGATCCATTCAGATGACACCTAGCTTAGCTTCAAGATCAAGATGCTATCACTTTGCAATGAAATAAAATGAGCATAGGTATTGTTTTCTGAGTGCAAGGCACTGAACCAGAAAATCAAGTAGTTAATGACCATACTAAAAATGTAAAAGCTTGCTTATTCTACAGAAATGCATTCTGAAAGTATTCTGTCCGTCAATAAATACCTGCTTGGAGACGGAGGCGTGTGAAGTGACATTGTTGGTACCCCTGTTGTTGGCGTGACGTGGCTCGGTAACCGAGTGCCCTGGGATAAGCTGCGATTTAACTGAGGGGTATTGTTGCTCATCCCCCTCATTGGAAGGCCTAGTGCACCTAATAAGAAAATTCAGAAGAAGGAAATTCATTGCCATCAGGAATGAAATTGGTATCCATCTTCTGGAGTTGGCAATTTAGAACATTTTAAAATGACCTAACATTCAACTCACTGCAAATGGACTCTAATTTTAAACAAAAGTTTTAGTCTGAAATTTAATATTTTGATTATGTTTTTGTATTTTTCATATTTCTATTTTATAATAGATTATGTAAATAAGTATAACAAATAAAATGTTACATAATAATACAAATGGATCTTGTTCTCAAATTCATTAAGGGCATATTTGTGAAACTAGAACATGCAAATATGCCATTAAGAAATTCTGCAATATTGTGTGTTTTAATTTATAATTAATGTACATAGAAAAGACAATCATTCCCACTTTGTCATAGTATCTTTAATATTATGTTATCCTTTGTAAATGCATTTTAGAGAAATTTATTAATACATATTTTGTAACATAACAATTTTTACAAACCCAACATATAGTATTTAGCAATTGTTAAAAAGAAAATCCTAATCTGATATAGGTATAATTTAAAAAACTGGTATGATTTAAAAAATATTTTGGAGTATAATGACCCTATATTTTTCAAGCACATCTGGGGCCAGATACAGGAATAGACATATCCGATAGGCATACTTTTAAAAAGTATTGTGTTCTGCCATTCAGGTATAAAATTCAAAAATATTAATCAAATTGGACAAACTTATTTTTTAAATGTTTGACATGCTCACTATTTTCAGATGGTATAAAATGTGAGCACTCTGAGGTTCAGAACGGAGAGTTACTATTCTGTCCATGTTTATCGCCCGTTCTCTCATAGGTCTACAGCACATTTAGGTTGCCGTCCTAGCTGTCTATCAATGAATGCCTCCTTCCCTCCGTCTTTCTGAGCCACGAGTTTTAGTGCTTTGTTTTCAGCGTGCTAACTATTTGATACACTGGTCAAACTTATTTTAGAAGTTAAATTAAAGAAAAAAGACATAACTCATCAGAAAATAATGACTTTAGTGCTGGGGATTTAAGATATTTTTCCTTATAGTCTTAGTTTGGGGTCCAAGCATTTTAAAGACCTGAAGAGCCTGAGTCTATGCCTTTCACAGAAATAAGAGTACTACATACACTGTACTTTTGTCAAACTTCTGCAAAACTTGTCCTCTGGCATCACAAAGAGCTCAGAGACTGCACTGAGAGCTAGCTGAAAGCTGTCTACCTCACAGTTTAAGGGACCTGGAAGGAGTGGCCTAGCATACATACTGTCTTGTCACTATTTTATTTGTGTCTAGACAACTCTACCATTTGTGACTTTAAGAATGCTACTGCCTACTGTCATTTTCTCTAAATCTGGGACAAAAAAGGAAGAAAAGAGTTAAAAACCAGCCTATGCCCTCCCTCAATCATTCAGTTTCCCTAGAGCTGCTATGGATGCCTCTCATAATAAACCCACCAAGATGGTAATTTTCCTAACACATTTCCTAGGTGCCCAGTATGTGGCAAATATCATACTAGCTGCTAGGGAAATAGCAGTAAAACTGAAAAGGCTCCTAACCTCGGGTGCCTAATTAACCTCTACTGCTACAGGGTCTTAAAGTCAGCTCTAGATGAAAACTTCCAATAGGCCTGTATTTGCCAGTTACTCGTCGCCAAAGTTATACACTTTCAGATGTAAAGATCACCTACTCTGTCTACATTTTACAGATAAGAAATCTGATCCCCAGATAAGTTAACTGACTTCTCCGAGGTAACACAGAGAACTAGGGCTAGAATTTGGAGCTCTTAAGTCCTCGTTTCTTGCGGGCAGGAGTAGTAGACACAGAACAACGGTGTTCACAGCCTGAGTGCCAAGTAAGACCTTTCATCCACTTCCCTCCGGTCTCCTTCTGGATGTGTCTGCACTGCTGACTGTCTCTCCTCTCCTCTTCCACCATCCTCTCGTCACTGCCTGTCTAGTCTCTCTTCAGCTTCACCCTTTCCTTCCTTTTCATTCTTCTTACTTTCATTATTCACTCTTAAGTCATAACTTCAAATTTCACTTTTTGCCCTTTTAAAGAAATTAGCAGACCCACAAAAGACTTTTTTTTGTCTACAGTAACTTCTCCTACGTTTATTTTTCTGTCTGTGTAAAAAAAATGTCTAATTTTAGAACTACGTTAAATATTGTACATAATCTGAATATTGGTAAACATTCTGGCCAAGAAAATAACAATGGGTAATGTGTTTTATTCAATTAAAGACAAGACAAATCTAATTAATTCATATTGATGCGTGGTAGAGGAGAATGAAGTAAAGATTGTTTGAATTTTAGCCTCCAAATTCATCTTGGTTAAACAGAGAATGAATTTAACACGTTTTATTCATTTTGCTGAACTATTCATGAAAGATGAAAACACATATTTTAATAGGGTTAGCTGAAATCTGACTTAAAAACTGAAGTTCTTTAAAACAGTAACACTGAATAAAAATACAGAAAGACTTCTTTTTAGAAGACAAAATGTACTAAGTTATTATACTTGGGCTACTTGATCCAAACTATGAATAACTGGATAGGTTGGGGGGGGAGTAATTTAATCTTCTATAATAAATAATAACAGAGAATCATCTCTAAAATATCTAAAAAGAAAACCCTGAGTGACTGTTGGTGTAAGTGAACAACAAAAAGGAAGAGGACAGGTCTGTGTACGGGAGCTTCTCTGTGAGTGTCTGGGGGCACAGTGACTCAAGGACTGCCTAACCAGAATTATCTCTACCTCTGACTTTTTTCCCTAAACAATTTTTATAAGGAAGACATCTACTCTTTTATCCCAATTTTTACACATAAGGAATGAAAATATAAAAATGATTAAAAAGGCTATAGTTCTGAAACAACTTCTTCCAGGAAGATTAATGTACATACACTAAATAGATTCCCTACCTCTTATTTGATACAATGTTGAATAGTGAATTAAAATTCTTCATGGATCCTTTTTGCAGAAAGCCTTAAAAAATTGACTTACGCACTCCACGGGGTTAGTGACAGGCCCAGAGGTAAAGGTGTCCTGAGGCCTGACCCCCTGACCCAAATTCTATCCCTAGAATCCAAGTGGTACAAAGAAAACTGCCTTTCCAAGCTGTCTTCCAATGCGCCCCAATACAAGAATGCACACACACACTAAGTTTTCGTAACTGATGCAAATTATACCATGATTTTTTTGTTAAGAGAGCAGCTTCATAGCAGTATCTTAAATACTTATAGCAAGTTGTCCTTTCTAAAGACAGACAGTATTAATAACCTAAAGGGAAAGTTCAGTTATAGCACCAAATGCTTGAATACCTGGCACCTATATGAGGCCTTTCTTTTTCCATGACTTTACTTACAACCTTTCCTGCATTAAGTAAGTTTCCAGGTGAAATAATTTCATTCTGGTATTTCCGTCACAAAACCCAAAGAATTTAGAACAAAATAAAAAACTTCTGAGATCCATCAAATTATAAACTAAGAACTCAAACAAGCCATTAACCTGCTTAACATCACGGCAGCAGAACTGGAGAGACATTTCAGGGTTAATACAACTCTGAGAGGATGACCTAAGTTTGGTTCTCAGCAGCCACAATCAGGAGGTTACAACCACCTAACTCCAACTCCAGTAGATGTGACACCCTGTGGCTCTGCAGGCTACACACACCATGAGTGCACATAAACTTACAGGCATATAAACATATATATAAACAAACTAAACAAGTCTTTTGAAAACCAAGTCACAAGCAACAAAGTAGGAAGCCATCAATCCAGTTTCCATTCCCTCTTCAGAGTACTTTCACAATTAACATTAGTTGCCACTTTTTTTAGATAGAGTAAGTTGCTAACTTTTGCTTCTCTACAAACTGTAGCTTACTCAGAGTTTGGGGAATTCATGGGTAGTGGAAGCTCTACCCTAAGCTTCTACCTTCCTGGAGCTGCGACCCTTTAACACAGTTCTTCAGATCCCCAACCATAAAATTATTTGTTTCTACTTCCTAACTGTCATTTTGCTACTGTTATGGATCATAATGTAAATACCTGACATGCAGGATATTTGATATGTGACCCCTGTGAAAGGGTCATTCCACCCATAAGGGGTCATGACCCACAGGTTGAGAACTACTGCCCCTAAACCATCCTGCAGTTTTTAAAAGGCCAGGCTTTCGGGATATGATTAAGTATAATCACAACTTAAGTCTTTACAACACCAAAGAAGAAAGTTCTTCTAATCTTAATGGACATTGCATTGTTTGGCTACTCTGTGTGTGATTAGTAATCTCCTCCTTCATTCCCCCTCTTCTCAAATTTGTCTCTGTAACTTCACTATTTACCGTTCTCTAACTAAGAATGCCTTGCCTTCTCTGGTTCACCAGGGATCAAGGCTATAAAGGACACGCACAGATCTAAGGTTAATGCGACCCTGCCAACGGCAATAATGCCCGTGGGTTAAGGCAAAAGATAATGGTGGTGGTGATGTTGCCCAATCAGATGGCTAGAGATGGCTGACAGTTAAGTCTGACAAGCTGTATGAGAATGCAGGCAGATGACAAGGTACGTGGTGCTGCCTACAGTCCCTGATGTTCAGGAGACCTAGGAAACAAGGTGAGGAAAAATGAACGAGGATCAATTACAGACCTAAAGGAGAACATGCCTTGCCCAAACTGAGGATTTATCAGATGGGAAAATGGGCAAAGCAAACTGGTTTCAAAATTCAAAACTAGAACAGGAAGCTTCTGTGAATCAGAAAATACCAGACAAAAGGAGCTCTGCAGGACCAATTCTCATGGCGCAGTACCACACACTTCTGCAAGCAAACCTTGTTTCCTTCCCCAACCTAAACGTCCAGTATAGATTATAGTACCCAGTCACATGATGATATAGGTCTCAAACCTTATAAATATGCTAATTTTCTTTCCAAATTCTATATAATAAGCTGTATAAACTGTATTTCCAAACTATGCCAAATCTGACTACTTCTCAGTCACTAGTCCAGTTCCCATGTTCCTGCTTGACTCTATTCCTTCCCCACTCAGCCCACTTTCTACAACGCAAAGTGATGGTTAAAAATGAGGTAGCATCATAAAACCTTCGCTATTCATAGAGCAGCAAATTAAATAGTAATTAGAACTTATTCAAATTCCTATTTTCTTTTACATTTACATGTTGACTTTGTGTGTATGTAGAGGTCAAAGGACAACTTGCAGGACTGTTCCTCCTTCGATCAAGTGGGTTCTAGGACGGGGCTCAGGTCTTCAGGCTGGCACCAGCTGCCTTTACACAGAGCCAGTACACGGGGATAGATTCTTCTTCTTTTTTTTTTTTTTTTTGTATGTGTACAGATGTTTTGCCTCTTCTTGTCTGTTTACAACATGTGTTTCTGGTTCCTGAGGCCAGAAGACAATGTCAGATCCTTTGGAACCACCGTTCCCGATGGTTGTAATCTGCCATGTGGGTGCGGGGTACAGAACCTGGGGAGTCCTCTGAAAGAGCAGCCAAGTGATCTTAGCCTCTGAGCCATCTCTTCAGCCCAGTCTGAATTCTTGAGCAAATGTTTCCAAGGCTTCCTATGATCTGAGCTATCCATGAGATCGTTCACTGATGTCCTCTCATTCATTCCACAGACTTGCCGCCTGCTCCGTTGCCAGTGACTTACTCCATCTTCCTAGCTTTCCTGTACTGAAAAAGCTCCTTCAAGACCACTCATTCCAGGAACTACCGTCCTCACAGTCAGGTTTCCACAGTAGATTGTAATTCCTGAGAAACAGTGCAGGATTTTTGCCGACTCACATAAGGTATGAGCTCCGCACTGATAGTTTTGTCCTACTCATTACAAGAACTGCAGTATTTATTTCCTCGGGTGTGTTTACTCTGTCTCCGCCCACTACATGTAAGCACTGTGAAAAGCAGGAACTTTGTCATTCGTTACACTTTGATTAGGTCTTGGAACAGAACCTTATTTGGGGCAGCACTCATCAATACATGACGAAAGCATAAATGTCACAATGCCTTCAGTAGACAGTCGCTCAGGAGCTTCTTGGCATCTGTAGATTCAACACTGTAGAGTCTGTAGAGTCATGACTTCAGCTCTTGGGTTTCAAAAACTGTGTTCTCAGCTCATATTCAGAGCACTACTTTTACAAAGGAACTTAATTCTGGCTCTATCACTTACAAGTTCCTTAACATCTCATTGAGTTGTGAAGATTAACACACAGTAAATCTGGAATACAGGCTTTCCCCCTCATTTTTAATGTCCACATGGCAGCTGAAAGACCCAACAAATGATCTTAACAGCAAAGGAAAATGAGGCAGTTTAATTAAGTGAGTTTCCATAGAAAAACAGACATTTTATAGGGAAAAACTTGATGATACAACTTTGATCTCTAATCCACGTGATAGGAAAGATTATACTTTACTATTAGCTGAAATCTAAGGGCATATGTCAACAGTGTATGTGAGAACCTTATCTTCCTCATTATATAACGCAATATCCACTGAGTGCTTTTCATGAACAGAGTCCTAGTGACACAAAGACAATCGAGACACACAATACAAAACAGCAGTGTGCTTCCTATATAGTAAGTAAGCTCACCGCATCCAGGAGAGCGGTCCCACCCATAACCATCTCTCTAGTGTTTAGGATGCTATGACATGTACAGCAGGCATGCAACAAACACGTCAAGCCCGATTCCTAAAGCGACTGGAAGTTACTTTCCTCGTGGTTCCCAATGTCAGGATCATCATGTTTAAACCGTGTCAGTTATGCTCTCCTGCTCTACAAAGTCAACTGTAAGCTCTGATGAGTATCAGTTAGAACTAGGGACTACGCCACCACTCACAAGTCAGAACTCTAAATCCTGGGGAGACTTATTTCTATTCTCAAGTAGCCTGGGACCTTTCAGAATCCAGATACAAATGTCTATGGTCCATGAGGACAGCAAGTTAACTAACTGCCTACACATAAGACACAGACTAGGAGACACTAGATAACATTTTCCTTTTCCCATTTCTAAGATTATAAATACTTAGCCAAGTAAGAAAAGACTGTTCCAACTATACAGCTACTTCATTTCAATGCAATGAAGATCTAGGAGAAATGGATTGCTGGTTCTTTGTCCACTTCGATCCAGTAACTTTAGGGCTAGGATCATGTAAGACTGACTCAAATCTTATTAACACTTAGAAAACATCATGCAACTTGAACACGATATGCTTCCTGGCCGTTATCCACTGCTGAGCAGTATCCACATAAACCTTTGGGTGAGGGTTCCTGTTCCCAGCTGGGATACAATTCTATTCCTTTAGGGCCTGAAGTCATGCAGCCCTCTAAGTCAGCGTTTTCTGGATATCTCATGTGCTTACTACATAATCACTGCCACCCCAACCTGGCAAAATGTAGGCTCAAGCAAGCACTCCTGTATCCATTCCAAAACGTAGGCTCAGGCAAGCACTCCTGTATCCATTCCAAAATGACCCCATCTCGCTGTTAACTTCACTAAGTTTTAGTTCTAAGAAGAAGAGCTTTCTTTACTTCCTCTATTCTTAACTTTTATAAAAATCAAGACTAAGCAAAAAGTTGGTAGTATACAATTAAGTGTTAAAGTACTTTTCCTAGCAAATGCAAGGCCTGGGCTCAACATACAGCACCCAAAAATAAAAACAAGCCACACTAATCCTAGCATGCTGAAGGCACAGGCAGGAGGATCTGTGTTCCTGACTAGAATGTCTATAATAAGACTCTGTTGTAAAAAAAACACAAAGACAAACAAAAAGCAACAATAACAACAAAAAATTGATAGCGTGTACACTTCAATAGCATAAATCACTAATAAATTTGTAAAATATGGATACAGAGTTACCAGTACCACTCAGTAGAACTGAGGTGAAGAAAGTACTTTTAAGTTCTACTAGTCTCCTGTGCAATTATAATAAATTGTCATAAGAATAGTATCTCCAATACAGTCCTTTGTTAATTCTTTCTTTCTAACCCTGACTAAAGTTACCTCCCCACATTCTAACATACAAGTGAAACTGTGACCCCTTCCAAGTCTCAACAACAACAAAATATGTTTGTTATACATGGCTTCTTTTAAAACTAGTTAGTATCTCTAAGATATTTTTTCTAAGAAAAATAATTTGCTCACTCATCAATCTATGTATGCCCTTCCCACACTAAATAAAGCAAATTAAAGTTAGATGTCAGCCAATGTCTGTCATGCCAAGGCCATTACTACCTTCCAAACCAAACCCATCCCCCAAACCACTCATATTTACAGCTTAAAAAAAACTTAAAGGTCTAGACAGCCAGTTACAATCACTATTACAAAACAACTTCACTTTTTCAAATATATGTTTTATCCATTTTATATCTTCGTTCTACTATGATCAACTGTGGACTTTCAAAAGAGAATAGGCTAATGCGGATGCTGTACTGAAACAGAAGACAGCTTTAAGTAGCTAAGGATCTGTATAAGAAGGCCTCCCAAAGGGTGAAAGTCACACCATACACAAGACAACAAAAACATAATACAAGGCTTGAATGCTGCCTAAACAGGTAGAAAAAACATTTGTAGATAATTAAGGAACTCCATTTGTAATAAAAAGCCTTTAAAATATGTTCTTGCTTAAATATGAAATCAAAATTTACTAATTCTGTATTAGAAAACTATCTCATAGCAAAGAGGAAAATCATAAAAGACAAGGGGAAAATAAAAATGAAAACAATGCTTCTCTATACAAAATAAGGATCCCCCGTCCACTGCCCAAACCTTGAAATCAAGGCACAGGGTGAAGAGGTAGGACACACTATTCTGGCACTAAGCAAACACCTGCTTCTTCTCAGACAAGGCAAGTTCTAAACTGCACTGGTTTTTACTTGACGCTGATTAGATACTATCCTCTACTGTTTGATGGTAAGTTACAACACTTTATCCCTGCCTCCATTGACAACAGTAATGAGAAATCAGCAGACTGTCTGTCTTACACTAAAAAAGATGATAAATTTTATTAATATGTAACATTTTGGTAATTTGATTTTATGAAATGTTCTCTGATGGTGTACAGCTAACATTTATTGAGCACTTACCATGCGCCAGGCACTGTGCTAAGCGCTTTAAACGGATAATATCTTATAAAACAAAATCTTACAGAAAGAAGAAACTGAACTATGAGTAAAAAGTTAGGTGTTATAACCAGAAAGATCCAAAGCAAAATAAACAAACTAATATTTTTCTACCACATGAAAGCTATCTCACAAACTGTTGCTAAGTAATGGGCCTACAGTAATAGGTAAAGTTCTAAAGAATATATCAAACCAACCAAAGGAAAAAAATCTTGGACTTCCTCTTACTAAAAGCACAAGAGTGACTACTTTTAATTATTAGCAAATTTCTGAGAAACTGCGAAAGAATATATAGACATATATATATAACATCAAAATAAATTGCAACATATGCAATATTCAAGAAATAAAGAATTTAGAATTAGTAAGTCCCAACATAATGAGGTTTACTACACAAGTAAAATACAATTTTGAAAATTAACTATCTTTCTGTTAAGCCCTCTGTAAACCCACAAAGGTAGAAATTGATTCTTTTTTCCTTAAACATAAAGTATCCCAGAATAAGTACAAAATTCTTACTTTGTTGCCCGTATAAACTTGCCCCAAATTGAGACAGCTGACCTGATGTAGATGGTGATGCCAGCATCTAGAAACAAATTAATGATATTAGAGCATAAAGAAAGACAGGATATTGTAGTTACAAGTCTATACTTCATACCATCAATGTAAGACCCAACCCAAGTCCGTGTTCGTCAGACATAAGCATTTCTTACAAAGACTACCACAACCAGACGAAACCCAATTGTTCAAATAGAAATAAATACTACAATGAGGGTTTTTAACTTACACTAAAGCATAACAACACTATTAGGACACTTAAAAAAGAAAAACAAGGCTACTAAAAAAAAAAAATACATAGCCAAACTCTCAAAATTAACTTAATTTATGTGTGACATTGACTTTAATCTATACATTTAAATAAATTCTAAATTCAGCCTGTTATCAAAATGAAAGTTTGTACTTTGTAAAAATATTTGATTTTTATATTCATACAGCTATGTAAGTTGAAAGAAACCATCAGCAAAGCAAAATAAACAAGTAAAAATACAATAACACCCCAGACAATGACATCTGATTTACAGAGTTTCTAGGAAGTCATGGCACTTGCTGGACAATGCCTGTCAGTTTACAAGAACTTACTCTGCTGGTAGACTATCAATTCTTTAATGGTATGGTACATTCACAAAAAAAGCTGTTTCTTTTTTATTTCTTTATAGACAGAGATGCAGGAGTCCCATTTATAAACAAATATTTAAGCTGAATACACGAGGACATGCATGCAATGCTTCATCATTCTATCTTATACAAACATCAAAATACTTCTATTAACCAAAACATGGACCATGACATCAAGAGGTTTATAATCTAGTGGGGAAAGAGGAACTATTATGTAATCACACTGCAAGTGCTACAACAGAAGTGTAGCATCACTGGAAAAGGCCACTCTGCCCAGAGATGAAGGGATCAGTCAATTTCTGTAGGGCTAACACTTGATGAAGGCCAACAATACACGGCTAATTGTTACGTTAAGGTCATAATCAAAGCACACGGTAAGAAATAGTGGTGACTAGATAACAGTTGATTAGGAAAGGAGAGAAAGCTCAGTCCTATTGAAGAACATAAAAATGAGAAATAAAAGAATATTGGGGACAAGATTTCAAAGCTTTTCTTTAATGTCAAACAAAAGTTCCTTCTTACATCCAGTGTGTGTATCCTAGACAATTATATTAACACTTAAACTACATAACCTTTAATCAATCAAATAGGCTAAAACATGACCAAATTCCGTTTGGGCAATAGTCACTACTATTACCATATTAACTATAAATATTTTATACAAATGTTAATGAATGATATACAATTTTAAATAACCCTGTAGCTGGTGACAAAAGGTCTATATACGATAGAATCATGAATTTGTTACCATGACTAGCTATAAAACAAAGAAGTGGTGCTTTCAGAGGTTTCACATGTAAGACGTTGACCAATATGAACAAATAACTTACGATGAATAAAAATCTTCAAATGGACATCTTATAATGTATACTTACTGAATACTTAATGCCAAGGAACAGATATCTTAGTGTACTTTCTCATGAAGGCTAGAAATTCATAAATAAACCATGTGTGTGCTGAGCCTGAGCCCTGGGGAACTATGAGAGAGCACAGTATATATAAAGGAGAGGATGCTGTGAGGTGAACACTCCCCACCCTATTTGACAGTAAATACTACCTTCTACACTGACACTACACAAGTCATTAAACAGTGCTTCTAGGAACAAAACAGCTTAATGAAAATTAGGAACGAATCCTGGCAAAATATCAACTATTAAAAGACCTCAAAAAGTTATGTATTGAAATGGTAAAAGTTAATCATAAAAACCAAATTTCTTAGAACATAAAATCTTAGACCAAGAAAGACATCACAGTGGAGAATGCAGTGGAAATAGACACCCAGCTTTACTGTCTCAAAAATGGTCAAAGGTGGATAAAGATTGTTACGTTATCTATAGAATGATGAAACTATCAAGTAGACTATCACATTACCAGTATAAAATTATACTATGCAACGTCTACATCCCTCAAGGACTATACTCCAAAGTCAAACACAACAAAAACTTTTTTTAAAAAGCAGCTAAAATAATGTGGCCCCAGTTATTTATTTTCCCAAGTTGTTAATCGTCCCCTTTCCCTTTCCCCACAGCATGTATCACATATTAGACTACAGTTTCAGCTGCTGTGTGTTTATGAGACAGGACACCACTGTGCAGTGCAGGCTGACTTCAAACTCATGTCCTCTTTCATCCATCTTACAGGATAGAGGCTTCAGAACTCTAGCATAAAAGTACTTAACTTCCAAAACACTGAACACAGTTTGATGATGGAATTAAAATTTTAAAATAAAACTTCTCTAACAAATATTTTAAAAATTAAAAATTATCCTCTAAAGTTTGATCTAATTTACTTAAAGGATGGTAAGAGTTCCTCTACTTACTTTATTTCAAGAAAAAAATTATTAGCTTTTGACTGTATCTACTCAAAAAATGAGACCAAGACAACATGTCCATGCATCTGTGCACAAGCATCCATAAACATACAAGCACAAAAATCTAAAAAAATTACAATTAAAAACCAATGGTTTAAAAAATAAAACCAAATGAACCTAATAAACAGAAGCAAAAGAACAAGGAGGAGGTGCTACACTAAAATAAACAAGAGGGAGGGAAGTGGGACAGCAGAAGACACAAAAATAAAATGGTTAATAAGTTACAAAAGCTGACAATTTTGAATCAGACACAGTAAAGTAGGCATTTACCTAAGTAACTTTAAAATGGTAAAATAATGAATTCCTCAATAACAGACAGCTAAGATTAAATTGTTCTTACTAAAAAGGATGCCAGTGGAAGTTTCTCTATATGATGCTGTCTGAGTTCCTTCCTGGTTGGTGCTAAGGTATGAATTTATAGAAAGAAACAGGATTGGATCTAGCAATCAAAAGGTTCTTCATACGCACTAGTCTCAAGTCTGTAGCAAGGACACCTCCACACAGTCACTCAAATTATCTCTCAAACACTGTTCTCCAATTTACAACATACTTTCAAAACCACACACACACACGCACACACACACACAAACTTTGCTATGACAGATTAACCATCTTTCAGTAATTCAAAACTCCAAATCCAAGTGTCCTCCCCAACAGAAACAACCCAAAATTTGAAAAACTGAAATAAATTTTATCATAGTCATGGTGTGTTAAAAGTTTTAGAACTGAGAATTTGGGGATTTAGTACTTCTTGTCTTGTTTTGGATTGAGAAACACTTGCCACTAATTGATGACTAAACATTTTATAACTATATTTCTAGATAGTGAAACTGGATGCTTCATAGATCTATTATTTTCTATTTTACATTTTAACTTTACTGTTTGAAGATGATGGGATTGCTAATAAATTCTAGAAATGACTTGACGTATTATTCTTACGTAGTGTGTCCCAAGATAGCCTGAGGTACACAATGACCCTGTCTTTTAAAACCAAAAATAACCCAAACAAACAAACAAACAAAAACAAACAAAAAACCTGACATACACACTCAGACCATACTCTCTATTAAAGTTTATAATATGATTCTAAAGATTTTTAACATTCTATCTTCCAATAATTTTCAACAGTATCTATTCCCATTCTCTTCAATGAAAGCAACTACTATAGATTCTAAAAGCATACATCTAGCTATACAGACAAAAAAAAAAAAAATCCTTGCCCTTCTTAATTCTAGTGGATTAAATAATAACCAGGTATTTCAGGCAGTGATAAATGCTATGCATTTATCCTTAATAAAGTTGCTTAGAATTTCATCTTTATCATTTATTTTATGTGCATACGTGTATGTGTGTGGCTGTACATACTCCACAGCTCCCAAGTGGAGGTCTGGAGACAATCTGTGGGGGGTCGGTTCTATCATGTGGGTGCAACCTCAGATGATCAGGCCCATTGGCAGCAGGCACTTTTACCAGCTGAATCATTTCCATGATCCAAAGACTATGGAGTTTTGAAATCCAGAGAGTTTAGAAGACAACGGGAATAATGCAGATAGTGTCAAAGTTATTATGAAACAGTGATCAAAGGGAAGCCTTCTCAGGTAATGTATTCAAATAGAAAACTCCATTTGAAAAGAGAGAGAACCACAGAAAGTTCTGGGAGATTGGAGGGTGCCAAATTGGGGAGGGGGGGAGAGAAGAAGAGGAAGAGAGAGGGAGAGGGAGAGGGAGAGGGAGAGGGAAGAAGAGGAAGAAGAGGAAGAAGAGGAAGAGGAAGAAGAGAAAAAAATTAAGAGATTCAAACACTCTAACTCCCTTATGTAGTTACTACTAATCGTGAGAGTGACAGTCACAAGAGATATCCTTACTTTATACTAGGCTGTAACAAACTACTCTTACATACTGGCATGGAAAGCAGCATTACTGTCCATGAAGGCTGAAGGCCGGGCTCAGGGAGTGCATAAAGGATTATGGGATTAAGTAGACAGCAAACTACTCATTATGATACCACATCTGCAGTATTATAATAGCAAATTCATCATTCTATTGGAAATCACATATATCTTATAGGTTATGCTTTAAAATCAAAGGCCTGGAAAGAGGACATTCAAAAGAACTTGTTAGCAATTTAACCAGCAAAGGTTTAAAGATACTTTTAAAAAGTTATGGAGATGGGGAGATTATATTTATGCTCTATGACTAGAATAAGCAGGAAAAAATGTGCATTTAATTAATTATTTCAGACAAGGTATATAGTCTAGCTGTCCTAGAATTCCCTTTATAGACCATGCTGGCCTCAAACTCACAGAGATCCACCCACCTCTGCCTCCCAAGTGCTGGGATTAAAGGTGTGTGCTACCACAGGCAGCCAAAATTTGGATTTAAAAACAAAACAAAACAAAACAAAGCTACTTTTAGGGCTGGAGATATGGCTCAGCGATTAAGAGCACTGACTGCTCTTCAAGAGGTCCTGAGTTCAATTCCCAGCACCCACATGGTGGCTCACAACCATCTGTAATGGGATTTGATGCCCTCTTCTGGTG